AGAGAGAGATCTGCTGCGCTTGCTGAGGGGGCGGGGCCCCTGCATACATCATTTTTTCACTTTCCTCTGAGCCTTCAACATCAAAATTCAACATCATTTTAACACTTTTAGCCTTCGTGCTGTTGGGAAAAAGATCTGCACCAGCTTTTGTTTTGACAAGTGTGATAAAGTTCTTTATTTTCATGTCATAGAGATTATCAGTGGCAGTCAGCTTCAATAGTTGTGAACATTCTGGATGAATATTGTTTAAGAATGTTGTTATGAAAATCTGATCATTTCCTCCTTCAGGCATGCATGCCTCATTAGTCCAGCAGTGCGTGAAACGTTTCATAAAAACTAGAATGGATTCATCTGGCTTTTGCTTGCACATGGTTACTGCATTTAAATCAATTTTATCTCTAGACATTGTGAGCAGAAATTTCTTTAGATTTTGAAAAAAGGCTGTGATTTTATCATCGTTTATCCACAAAAACGAGGTGGTGTTGGCTGCTTGGTCATTTTTAGGGTCTAGTTCCTCTACTTCTTCAATAAGCTGAGATTCAGTCACACCTGGGATTCGTTGACATAATATATATCTATAGTCAGGCCCACCCAAGTGGTGGTATCTGGTACTTCTCTGTAATGCAGAAACAAAGGCTGTAGGATTTTTTATCGGACCCGTCTAAGGTCTTTGAATTATTCTGACCCATGGTCAGTGATTTCCAGAGGGGTTTAGACGCTTGAAGGATTTAAGTTAGTTTTTTTTTGCTGTGGCACACCTGAGGTTACTTGATTTTTTGCTAGCAATTTTATCTTTTTAGTGAGCAACTTCTCACTTTTTAACGAGCAACTTCTCGTTTTATGACCCCAGGCAACTTCCTGTGTCCTTTCTGCTGGTGAGCAACTTCTTAGTTTATGACAGCAGGCAACTTCCTGTGTCCTTTCTGCTTTAATTTACAAAACAACAGGCAACTTCCTGTGTTTCTATGTGGGCCACTAAAGAAGGCTCCTCAGTGTATCCCACTTGTTACTATGTGGGCCACTGAAGAAGGCCTCGTCAGCGTATCCCGTTTCTATGTGGATCACTGAGAAAGGCATAACACAGTCTTATAAAATAAAAAGACACGTGCCTACCTTCGTCAGGATCCCACCTCTGACACCAAAATTGAAGGAAACGGCTTCCAGGGCCTAATCCGTGGATCGGCTTCCTCCGAGGCGTGGACGTCTATCAGCAGAGATTGTACCTTCACCTATCAGCAGAGATGTCCCTTAGTCTGTAACACAGTCAAATATATTCTCAAGTAACATTCAAGCATGCCATTCAGCGTGTTAGTACGAGCTCGGGAGCAGCTTGGGAGAACAAGAAAACAGAGACTGCTTCAGATTGTCTTCCCAAAGTGACTCAACTTTATTCACAAGTACAACAGTTTATATAGAGGGTAAAATTCATGAGACAGCAGATTATCAGTTTAAACCAGTACAGACCAAGATAAGGGAGCGTCTTCCTGCCCTTGGGTGAAGAAGCATCCTTTGTGTAGTGTATCAGTTCAGATACAATTGTGATTATCTCAGCGACATATTTTCAAGGCACGAAATAAAGAGTTCTTACATTAGTGAAATCTGAAACAAACCATTTGGCCTTCAACAGGCGTCTCCTAAGAGATTAAGAAACTAATGTAGCTGAGGGAGTGATCTCTGTGGTATTTCAACCTTGTACCAGCCTGTGATTCTCACACATCAATTCTTGGGTCAAAGAGAAAAATAACTGAAACAAAGGGGCCTTATTGAATGACAGAGTTTTCCTGCATAATGTCACTATAAAACAATATCCAGTAAATGCTACCATGGTACTAAAATACCTAACAGTGTCCATATTAAGAACTGTTTACTGCACTCTGACGATTTCAGGCATTACAATATCTAGAAGGGGAAATAAGAACTTTTTCAGTAGAATTCACACACAAACACACACCAGCTAAAAGTTGTATTTCCTCTTTTATTCTGTCGATATATATAATTAATAATACATCTACTAAACATACTACTATGCATGGTCACCCATGGAAAACATTTAACATGGTATAAAATAAAAACTGTTGAGTAGTTCAATTTATTCATTTGTTGTGGTAATATTGGTGATACAAGGTTCAGTTGTGCATGAATGGCATTCAGGTGACAGGATATCTTACTCTAAACATTCCCATATGGAAAAGATATATATAAATTTTATAAAGTTTGTATCTGTATTGTGTGAAACTTACACACTAAAACTAACAAACAAAAGAAACCCAACTATACATAAAATAATTACACCATAAAGATGGTTTGTTTAGTGGTTTATTTTATTGCAACCTGTAATTTATTGCAGTTTGTTTATTTGTTTAATTGTTTAGAAAGGTTTTGAGGTGTGAAATAAACTGCAATGGAGGTTGAAACAAAATATGGGTGTGTGTGGTGTAGTTGGAGGATGTGTTTGTGCGGGGGGTGGTGAAGATTTTCTTATAAGACGAAGGGAGGGCCTAACCAAAAAGGTTTGGGAACCAGTGCTCTAAACATTTAGTGCAATAAACTTGGTTGAGGAGGAAATAATCAAACAATCATGTGTGAGAAACATAAATACTGATAACAGGGCAAATTTACAGGAAACTAATATGTGGCTGGTCTGACAAGGCATCCTAACTATTCAAGGTCTTTCTCTTAAATGTAGAAAAGAGCAGCCGTGTAGATCACTAATGTCTCTATTTTCTAAACAGTGCTGTTAAAAGCTTATGTGACCTACTGATAATCATGTCCCTGCCCCAGCTTTTTCACATCGAATGCAAAATGAACATATTATCAAAAAAAAAACCCCCAAAGAAAAACACTATAACCTGTTAAGTTTAATATAAATTTACATTATCAACAAACAGGATTATAGTCAGTATCAAAGCTTTAGGAAGCATTTTCTGCTGGATTTCTACAGTTGACAGGCTAACAAACCCTCCTGTGCCAGTGGCAGCTGAACTTCATTCGACCATGGCCTGCAATGACTTTGCCAAATTCTTCACAGAAAAAATCCAAAAAATTAGACAAGCAATTGGTACATCAACAGCAGATCCAGGATATGTACTGTGTCCACCAAAAAACTGTTTAAACACCATGAAACAGTTTCAACCTATTAACAGCAAAGACCTGGAGGACATCTTAGGTCAACTGAACTCCTCCTCCTGCTGTTTAGATGTCCTGCCAACAAGTTTTTTCAAAAAGGTCTCAAAGACTTTAGAGTCAGACCTGTTACAGATCGTCAACTTTTCTTTATTATCAGGTGTGTTTCCAGAATCACTAAAAACTGCTGTAATCAAACCTATACTGAAAAAGGACAATCTTGACAAGACACAAATGAACAACTACAGGCCGATCTCAAATCTCCCATTTTTAAGTAAGATCATTGAAAAAGCAGTTTCTCAACAGCTCAATTACTTCTTAAAACAGAATAACTGCTACGATGCCTTCCAGTCAGGTTTTAGACAGAACCACAGCACTGAAACCGCTCTGACCAAAGTGTTTAATGACATATGTCTGAATACAGACAGTGGAAAAATGTCAGTCCTAGTTTTACTGGATCTCAGTGCAGCATTTGATACAGTTGACCACAACATATTACTCAAACGACTGGAGAACTGGGCAGGTCTTTCAGGAACTGTACTAAACTGGTTCAAAACATACTTAGAAAACAGGAAATACTTTGTATCAATAGGTAACTTCACATCTGAGCAGACAAGTATCACATGTGGAGTTCCCCAAGGTTCCATCTTGGGACCCCTTCTGTTTAACATCTACATGCTCCCACTGGCACAGATTATATATATATATATATTTTTTTACTTTACCAAACTGACCATCCCAGCCTTGCCGTAATGGTCCATTTGATTCACCTTTTATTGTTTATTTTATTTTCACTTACTGAATACGGGACAGACTTGACTGGGGGAAAGAAGGGGAGAAAGAAAGAGGGAAAGAGAAACAGCTGAGAAGAGGGACGGGGGAGAAGGGCAAAAGACAAAAACCAACAGAACGGGCAGAGAAAAAAAAATGCATATATCAATCACCTGGATCACCTGCTGAGAAAGAAAAAAGAAAGCAAGCAGAAGAGAACAAGAGTAATAGAATAAACAACATCACAATGATATATGGGAATATGACAGTAAATACTAAATATTAAACATTATTGTGCAGCACATAAGATCAACAGAACACAGTGTGCTTTGAGGTAGGAGCCAAAAAGGGTGTAGTTTGTGGGTGTGATCACCCGTGTGTACACCTGTGAGCATGGACGCGCTTGTTTTTTTGTTTTTTAAAAGGTTCCTTCATGTAATAATCTGCTAGAGGGTGTGGGGGGGCCACAGCCCCGTCCTCCAGGGCGTGAAGCAGGTGTGGAGGAGATCAAAACTCCAGACATCCAGAGGCCCCCAGAACACAAGAGACCAAGGAAGACCAACAGAGGGGCAGCTGCGCCACTGTCCCGGAAAGAGCTGAGGAGAGTCCCAGATGAGGGCTCACTCAGCAGCCGCGGAGCAGAAGCCAGGGGGAGTTGCAGTGACGCGCCCGTGAGCTCCGCCAGCAGCCAGCTGCGCCTGAGTGACCGAGCCCCAGGCCGAGAGGCCGGGGGCACCCCACCTCCGAAGTGGCCCGAGCGAGCCCCAGGCTCCAGGCCCCGATAAGCGGCCGCCAAGGAGTGAGCTGGTGTGTACCTGGACGCCCATCCCCGGACACAAAGAACCACCAACGCACCAATGTCTGAGGGGGTCCGCCACTGGCAGGGGAAGTGGTGGTAGGGGGAGATAGGCCTCCAAACCTTGGAGGGCCTGAGATGTCCCCAGAGAGGTGGCGCCTGACACCCAACCTGACATATAGACACAGACATACAGGCACACACAGATACAAACATCCATTCCCACCTTCATGCTCTCATATGCACTTACTCCACACTCAACCAACGTGGAGACAGACATAAAGAGACGTTGTACACACGATCACACTCCCCAAGCGTACTCTACAAACCGGGTCTAGGTGCCCCCGCCCCTGGAGGGGGGAACTGCACCCAGACCCAGGTGGTGTTTCCCTTTTCCCTGCGGTGGGGGGAGGCAGACCGCCCCGACTCCGCAGCAGCAGGAAGGCTCCACACTCCAGACCGCAGTCGGACGGCCAACTCCTCCTCCTAGCCCCCCTGCTCCAGCAGGTCGCAGAGAACAGGGGTGAGAGAAGACTCCAAACCTCCCTCCACCCGCTCATTGTAATGTTGATGCATGTGTGTTCTAAGGTGCATTTAAAACCCAGGAGGGCATGGAGCTACCTGCCAGAAGCTACATGCTCCCACTGGCACAGATTATAAACAACAACAAAATAAACTATCACAGCTATGCAGATGACACACAAATATATATCACAATGTCACCAGGAGACCGAGGCCCTGTGCAGGCTCTTGGTAAATGCATTGAGGAAATCAATGACTGGTTGTGCCACAATTTTCTCCAGCTAAACAAAAACAAAACTGAGGTAATAGTCTTTGGCGCCAAAGAAAAACGATTACAGGTCACCAGAGAACTTCAATCTATACATCTAAAAACCACAAACCAGGCGAGAAATTTGGGTGTAGTGATGGATGCAGACCTAAACTTAGAAAAACACATTAAGACAATAACAAAGTCAGCTTACTATCACCTCAAGAATATTTCAAGGATAAAAGATCTGATGTCTCAACAGGACCTGGAAAAACTAGTCCATGCATTCATCTTTAGTAGGCTTGATTACTGTAACAGCATCTTTACAGGTCTACCTAAAAAATCAGTCAGACAACTACAGCTCATTCAGAACTCTGCTGCTCGAGTCCTCACTAAGACCAAAAAAGTGGACCACATCAGTCCAGCTCTGAGGTCTTTACACTGGCTGCCTGTCCGTCAGAGGATAGACTTTAAAGTTCTGATGCTGGTCTATAAAGCTCTGAATGGTTTAGGACCAAAATACATCAATGACCTCCTGACCCAGTATGAACCTTCCAGATCCCTCAGGTCATCTGGATCCGGTCTTTTATCAGTTCCCAGAGTCAGAACCAGACACGGAGAAGCTGCATTCAGCTTTTATGCTCCTTATATCTGGAACAAACTCCCAGAAAGCCTCAGATCAGCTGAAACACTCAGTTTATTTAAATCCAGGTTGAAGACTCACCTGTTCTCAGCTGCATTTGAATAAAGCACCAAATCCACACTTTTAAGCTTAAATTTCAAAACTTACATTTAACTACTGATTTTATCTACTGTTCTGATTTTATCTGTTTTGATTTTATATACTGTTTTGTTTGTTTGTTTGTTTGTTTGTTAATTAGTTAGTTAGTTTATTTGCTTGTTTTAATCAATTTTAAATCATGCTTTTTATTTGTTCTTGTTTCTAATGTCTCTGTAAAGCACTTTGAATCACCTTGTTGTTGAATTGTGCTATACAAATAAACTTGCCTTGCCTTGCCTTATATTTAAAATAACCACACTACAACATGACTCACTAAATGTGGTTTTGTGTTGTTAGTTTTGAAGACATCCTAAAGTAAAATACAAAGCTAACAAAAGAAAAACGTACATCGTTAAGACGATCACACATCAGTGTAAAGTCTGCATGTATGAAATTAAAGTATGAAATTAAATTCAAACTTTTAAAGTCTTCATTATATTTTATAAAACCCAAAGACGTTGTTATGGCATACTCATAACATCACTGTAATTTACTACCATTTTATGTCTAATTTAAACCAAGTCAAGAAAGTATATTATTGTAATTTCAGCTTAGAAGAGAAAAAATAAACTCACATGAAATATCAGGAGTTAAACTTGCTTCAGCAGTGACATCAGGGCTACCATCTTGTTTCTTGTAGACAGCAGTGCAGGAGATTTTATTTCCATGATGGAGGTGAGAAGCAGTGAAATTCATAACAGAGGTCCTGACTTTAGTTTTGTCCTGATTCTCCTGCAGTGTCTCCTGACTCTGACCCAGGTTAGGGCTCCATGTCAGAGCTGGAGGATGAGACCAACACTGGAGCTGGAGCAGAGCACGTCAGACTCACTGAGGCTCCCTCCTTCACTTTCAGTGTGGATGGAGTCAGAGTCGGTGAGGGAGGAGCAGCTGGTGGGAAGACATTCTGGTCAGTCAATGAGCAGCAGTTTCAGTTTTTATATGCTGAGTAAAATCCAGTGAATTCAGAGCAAGCTCAAAGCAGTTCCACAAGTGTAATTTATTCATGAATTGTCAGTAAATGGATGAAAACAAAATATCTTACCTATGAGTGAAATATCTACACCAGCTTGGGCAAACCTGTATTTCAGTGCATTATCACACTCCAGTCTGAAATAGTATTTAGCACTTTGAAGGAGACGTGTATTATTGACAGTTGTGGTGCAGTCTTTCTTTGTTAAGTCTCCTGTCATTTCTTTAGTTGGCTTTAGTTTTGCATTTTCAGTGGTAAATGAAGATGAATCACTCCAATATGCTTTACATGAATCATCTAAGTTATTTTCAAATCTTGTCTCTACATCGAAGGAGCAGGGGATGTTCACACAGGATCCTCTCAAAACATTTATCTTCTGTGGCATTTTAATGTTGAACGTTCCACACAGCGCACCTGAAACACAACACGATAAAAAACAACAACAATAACAACAAAAACCCAAACAGTTTTATCTCTTCCTTCATATTTATCATGTTACAACGACTCAGTATTGAATTCAGATGCTAATACAAAACACTTTTACTGTTAAATATCTCATCAATAAAAAGCCTTGGTACTTTACTGCACATTCATCTTGAATACTGATGTCAGATAATTTAAGTAAATGATTAAAATTAACAATAGTGTATTATTATTATCAACTTTAATCATGTTTACGCAAAGTAGATTTTGAGTTTCTTTCACTCACCCTGCAGCAGAGAACTAACGAGAAGAAAAGTCAGAGTTGCAGCCATCTTTGTTGCAAGAGAGTGAAGTTTAAGGGAATCTGAAGTTTACACAGGAAACAGTTTACATGATTATTTGTTAACCAAGGAAAAGCTGTTAAGATGTCATGTAAGGTCCAAATTACTACTGTTAGTTATTGTCACTTTGAAAAATATAGATACATAAATGTTCAGCCTTACAAAGATTAGAGTTTAAATATACATACAGTGTTGATTTCACAAAGTTTAATCATTAAATGATGAAAGAGAAGAAAGAGGAAGGTGTAAGTCTAAAGCAGTTATACAATTTATTAAAAATATTCTTCAACAATTAAACATAATTTATGTTTCTGATTTCTGAAAAATTCTACTAAAGACAGTGAATTCATGTCTTAATAGTCTCATAAAGTTTTTAATTTTCTTTGGATTCATTTTTCTACAAACGTCAAAAATATGACAATTCATCTAAATATCTGTGAATCAAAGAGCTACAGAAAATCATACAAGTTTAACTCCTGATATTTCATGTGAGTTTATTTTTTCTCTTCTAAACTGAAATCGTAATGATTTACTTTTCTTGACTTGGATTAAATTACACAAAATGATTAGTCAGTTACAGTTATTTTATCAGTATGCCATAACAATGTCTGAGTTTTATAAAATATAATGAAAGCTTTTAAAGTTTGAATTTAATGATTATTTAATGATTTCAGTCTTTTTTGTTAGCTCTGCTTTTTAGCTTTAGGATGTCTTCAAAACTGACAATAAAACAAAACTACATTTAGTGAGTCATGTTGGACAGTTGTTTTTCATTTGCATCCTATGATAACATTTTCTCACATTATCATATTTCTAAATTAACACATGAGCTTGTCAGAGCTTTCAGATCCACTCTAAAGGTCGAACAAGAAAGTAGAATTGCAGAAATGTTTTACTTTTGACATTTGGCTTTCTGGTCTGTAATAGGATGATCTATTAATAGTTCCGTTAAAATGCAAAAGGAGCTGTGATGTGTGATTTACATAATATTACATTTAACAAATTATCATTGTACTGATTTTTAGATTCACCCAAAGATGTACAAATTTCAGTCAGTCCGTCTTGTCCAGTACCAGAGAACAGCAACTAAGGTTTCAACTTCCTGCTCTGATATCTGCCCCACCTCCACCTCCTCCCCTGACAGCTGTAAGACTGACTCTCTTTCCACAGTGTGGAGTAAAATCCTTTCTGCCAAAACCTACCCTCTGCTTCCTGAAGTATGGGCACTGGTTGAACATATGAGGTCTTATATTTTCAAATATGAAGTCTCTCAAATTGAAAAAACTATTGGCTTAACCCTTTGAGGTCCTCACCAAGAAAAAAGCAATGGAAAGTTTTTTTTGTTTACATTTCTTATTGATTTGGGTGAGTAATAACCACAATCAATTTTTTTTTCAATAGAACCTGTAGTTTTTAAAATATTGATCTGTACCAAACGGTTGAAATGTCCCTTTATGGTAAAAGTATGAAATGTCAAGCAAATACAAGTACATTAGATAATACAGTTGAAAAAAATCAAATAAAGGGCCAAATTATAATTAAATTAATAATAAAATCTATCCAGGGCATTGGATACAGTTTATTTCTAGTAGCATGCCAGTGAACATTGCTGTTTTCATTCCATCAAAGGAAAGTATTATATCAAACAACAAAATACATAGTTTTTTCATCTGCAAATGTGAAAAATGTGCTACAGCACAAAATACTCACATTCAGGCCACTTCTGATTGAAAGCTACTGTGCAACATCAGTTTTGTTTAACTGTTAACTTGGTTCAAACACAGCCAGGTGGAACCCTTTTGAGAGCCATTGGTTTCTGGTCCAGTAGAGCACAGTCCCTCTTGTGGACCAGGTTCAAGTCAAGGATGTATCAGAAAAGTGGAATATGCCATCTCCTTAACTTGTAACTTATAACTTGTCTTATACAGGTGTAATAGCATGTCAGAAAGTTTAATTCCTCCCACTTGCTAATTATATACAGGGATGAGTGATGGGCATGGAATGGTGATCTTTGCATTGGACACTTTGCTCCACCGTTTGACCGATGAAAGAGGCATGAACCCACAGGCATTGTTTAAGAGGTTGACACATTTCTTGTCAAACCATTTCACTGCAATCCGACCTTCATCAGACCTGTAATAACAGGCTCCTTGGCCATTCTTCATCAGGTCTTTGTCTGCCATCAGGGGAGCTCCACCAGTGCAGTTTGGTCATACAGTACCAATGCACCTGACACCCAAGGAGGTGTGCAAGTTCTGGACCAAGCTGAAACTTGTGAAGAACTGAGGTTCTTTTATGGGTTTGCAAAGTGTTTTTTACAACTTTGGCCCCTTAGAGGTAGCTTCTGTTCCTTTTCACTCAGGGGAGCATTGAAGAATGTAGACCCCGCCTTGATACAGCAGTCGTGGATGATGCCAGATGCCAACTTGCTTGGCAGAACAATTTAAAGCCCCACTCATCTGGTTTGTTGGCAATATACTGGTGGAGAGTGCCAACCCTTGTGGCTTCATGTGAAACCAAGACCTCAAACACACTGTGTGTTGAAGGTGGGTGGTATCATGAAATGGTAAATGGCCCGTATTTGTAAAGCGCTTTACTTAGTCCTTAAGGACCCCAAAGCGCTTTACACATCCAGTTATCCACCCATTCACACACAGGTTATGGCAAGCTACATTGTAACCACAGCCACCCTGGGGCACACTGACAGAGGCGAGGCTGCCGGACACTGGCGCCACCAGGCCGTCTGACCACCACCAGTAGGCAACGGGTGAAGTGTCTTGCCCAAGGACACAACGACCGAGACTGTCCAAGCCGGGGCTCGAACCGGCAACCTTCCGATTACAAGGCGAACTCCCAACTCTTGAGCCACGATCGCCCAAGTGAGTATCATGCCACAGGACCATGTGATTTTTAGCCATATAATTGTTTAGCGACTTGTTAAACATGAAATTATAATTTTGAAACTTAGTAATATTAATTTACCAGCTACTGTAATTTGGTTAAAAGGTAATCAGTTGTGATATTTGTGATTTCCACATGTTATTCTTGATTTTTACAATATTTACTAATATTAACTCAGAAAGTTACAAAAATGACTTACTGAGGAAATTATTTCAGCATATTCTTGCTGTGCTAACACTTAATGTGATTTATCAATAGCAATGGATAAACAAAATGGGTCTAGTGGTCTGATTTTATGGCAAATAATCAATTTTAATAACATTTAGGTTATGTTAGCATTAGCACTATAAAGGGACAAATCAACTGTTTGGTTGACCACTTTTTTAAAAAATTATTCAACATTTAATTTCACTGTTTTTAATGCTGTCAAGTGACATCCATCTTTTTAGTAAGTCCTCTAACACTATCATACATCAACAAATTATATCTTCCTACCTATGTTTCATCAGAAACACTCAAAATATGTTGTTTTTGTTTCTGACTTCCTGGTTGGGAGAGGTATAAGAAGAGCCAACAGTTTTTATTCACAGTGCCTTCTGGTGGATTTTTTTGGCATTACAGATGTAAACTAATTGGTAGAAAAGACTGAACAAGGTAGGTCAATTTCAGTGAAAGCCTCAGTTAGATATAGGGCCTGAAAATGTGCTCTACCAATTGGTTGACCGGAACGCTAAAGGGTTAAAAAATGGCAACTTTGACACTTGCCAAAGAGCTCATCCATTGACATCACTCCCTTGCTGATCAGTGGCATGTAAGCTATTGATGTCACATTTTCTTGATTATTTTCACTTGTATCCCCATCTGAATAGGCAATAAAAAAGGAACTGATACCAGATACTACCTAATGGAAAACTTTAATAACTGAATAGACTATAGTCAAGCCAAGTAGGTGCAAGTGGAAAGAGGCCAAAGTGTCACAAAAAGATGAAGCAGAGGCAGGTTGGCATTTTGGATGATACTATATTTGCAGCTGTTGGTGTGTGACTGTTTTTATGAAAGTGTGAATGACAAAGACATTTAATTATTTTGTATGCATATCAGAGAATTTAAAAAAAGGTTTTATGTGAATAACCTTCTGTAACAGATTGATCAACCAGAAAAATCACCAGTGTCCTGTTTGGTGATACTATATGAACACTCTGCCTCCTAGTGTCAGCTTGTGTTGTTACCACCAAAGAATGATACATGAAGGACTGCATAAAATGGAGCTGGAGAAATAAATTGAATTCAGCTTTTGTCAGTGTGGGATGGTGTTGAGGAGCAGGAGCCTGGACCTCAGGGAAGTGAGGTGAGGCAGACAGAAAAACCTCATGCCTCAAACCTGAGTATTACCTGTAGGCTGAATCACCTGATGGGCTGGAGCTAGAACACAGGGAATTCCAAGGCATTCTCCTCATTCCCTATGTCCACCTCTGGGCCCTTGAAGGCCGAGTCCTCATTTGAGGATGCTCCCTCTAAACAGAGGACATGAATCTGATACTACTGCAGGAAAACTTCAGAGTCAGAACAGAAAGCTGCTGAAGTTTTGAGGAATTAAATGATGCCACAAGTGAAACACTCTTTTTGAGTGGAATAAACGCTTTTATGAGCTCTGTCATCCTCTCATCATTGTTTCAATCATTTTCAGGCTCTAAACATATAAACTGACAGTGGGAGAAGACGCCGGATTTAGCACCGGATGTACACTTAGAGCTGTTGTACAAATAAAGCTTTAAATAACATTGACCGCGCCCTGGTTAACATATGATGTAGCAGTAAAATTTAGAACTGACAGTATAAGACGAGCAAATCTCCAGCGAGAGCAGTCGACGTATTTCTGGCTACTCTACGAATCATTTCAGCACGAGTCGTTTATTAACACAATTAAAAAGAACATTTGGTTAATAAAACACAAGTTTGAAGTTATAAAATTAATAAAAAATTAATAAAATTAATATCTGACTGTGTAAGGACTCCAAAACGTATGTTCGCTAAAGATCGTGAAAAATTCACAAAGTTACAGAATAAAAACACAACAGCTGCCAAAGTTCTTGCCGAGTGCGATCTGAAAATATACTATATATATACTAATAAATAATTATATAATTGCACCATACAGATCAGAATATTAAATATAAATATGTTTAAGTTAACCAGTATTATGTTGTGTCGAGATGAAATATTATTTTACATCCGTGATCCTTATTATTATTGTTGCATCATTTATGATTTATCATTGTTATCATTTTATTGACACATTTATTGAAACTGGTGAGGTTATAGTAAAGTCTGTATTTCAGGTGTTAGCATAAGCACATAATCTTTCATTGCAGGTGCAACTGTAATCATGTTATACACATATTGCATAATTAAAGGGTTGAAGCTCGGTCAAGTTAATTAATGGTTTGAAGCTACGGGCAGCGCGATGTCTGGCCGATCAATGGAGCAAAGTTCAGCTATTGAAAGGTTGCCTACATGTTTACCGTATAATTTACTACATATTGCCTGTGTGCATTCAGCAGCCTCCTGCATTGAAGTTTGCCTGGTAACAGAGGACGTAGAGGGGGGTCAGGCGCTAAGGTCACAACACAGACACATAGTCTGCCTGAGGGAACTGATTGCAAAGGCTGTGTACCTGCATACGTGACAGTTTAGTTCTGATAAGTCCAGTGTAAGAGTGTAATAACAGGATGCATCTGTTAGGTGGAGGAACATCGGAAGGAACTGTTCTTTTTTAGAATATGTCCTCGCTGGAGTTACTGGAACATGCATCTGCAGTGACGCGTATTGCTTGTATAAATATTACACCCCACCTATTGTCGGGCGGGAGATGGAGCTTGATTTTTTGCAGAGCCTATCTTCACCACATATATGTGTTTTAATAAAATAATTTGTGTTGACCCACTATGGACTTTCAGTCGTATGTCTCTTCCTCAAAATTCGAACCGCGACAATATATATATGTATATTTCAAGCGCTTTTACTGTTAATATTTTTTTTTAAATAAGACAAGGAAAATGAATGAGTCAGTACTCACAGATGAAAACACTGCCTCTTTGTGTCAACTTGTGTTATTTTCTGTAAATCTTATATTCACAGCTGTTTAGATAAATTGTCAAATTTTTGACCTTTGGAGAAAAATACATCAAAAGAAAAAAAGAAAAAGTTTGCCGGGAGAAATGTGAGAGGTTTCATTTTTCAAAATTTTGAGACTTTCAAGACATGAATTCATTGTCTTTAGAAGATTTTATCAGAAATCAGAAACATAAATTATGTTTACTTGTTGAAGAATATTTTAATAAATTGCGTAACTGCTTTAGACTTACACCTTCCTTTTTCTTCTCTTTCGTCATTTAATGGTTAACCTTTGTGAAATCAACACTGTATGTTTCAAATTCAAATTCAAATTCAATTTCTTTATTGTCCCACAAGGGGAAATTAGTTTAGCAGCAGGAGGATAAAAATAAACAGAACAATACTATAAAATAATAATAACAATAATAATGATAGAAAGTTCAAATATTTTATGTAGTCTAATTTTTTTAGGCTGAACATTTATTTATCTATATTTTTCAAAATTACCATAACTACCAGTAGTAATGGTACTTTGACTTTAGATCTTAACAGCGTTTCCCTGGTAATGGTTAACAAATAATCATGTAAACTGTTTCCTGTGTAAGCTTCAGACTCCCTTAAACTTCACTCTCTGGCAACAAAGATGGCTGCAACTCTGACTTTTCTTCTCGTTAGTTCTCTGCTGCAGGGTGAGTGAAAGAGACTTGACATGTGCATTACATAAAGATGATTTAAGTTGATGATAATAATAATACACTGTTGTTAATTTGAATTATTTCCTTATCAAATTATCTGACATCACTATTCAAGATGAATGTGCAGTAAAGTACCAAGGCTTTTTATTGATGAGATATTTAACAGTAAAAGTGTTTTGTATTAGTATCTGAATTCAATACTGAGTCGCTGTAACATGATAAATATGAAGGAAGAGATAAAACTGTTTGGGTTTTTGTTGTTATTGTTGTTTTTTATTATTGTGTTGTGTTTCAGGTGCACTGTGTGGAAAGTTCAACGTCAATATGCCAGAGAATATAAATGTTTTGAGAGGATCCTGTGTGAACATCCCCTGCTCCTTTAAAGTAGAGAGATTTGAAACTAACTTAGATGATTCATGTAAAGCATATTGGAGTGATTCATCTTCATTTAACAGTAGAAATGCAAAACTAAAGCCAACTAAAGAAATGACAGGAGACTTAACAAAGAAAGACTGCACCACAACTTTCAATAATAAAAGAGAATATCACGGTTGCTCTTTCTCTATCATTTAAGAGAAAGACCTTGAATAGTTAGGTATGCCATTGTCAGAACCCAGCCACATATTAGTTTCCCTGTAAATTTGCCCTGTTATCAGTATTTATGTTTCTCACACATGATTGTTTGATTATTTCCTCCTCAACCAAGTTTATTGCACTAAATGTTTAGAGTAAGATGTCCTGTCACCTGAATGCCATTCATGCACAACTGAACCTTGTATCACCAATATTACCACAACAAATGAATAAATTGAACTGCTCAACAGTTTTTATTTTATACCATGTTAAATGTTTTCCATGGGTGACCATGCATAGTAGTATGTTTAGTAGATGTATTATTAATTATATATATCGACAGAATAAAAGAGGAAATACAACTTTTAGCTGGTGTGTGTTTGTGTGTGAATTCTACTGAAAAAGTTCTTATTTCCCCTTCTAGATATTGTAATGCCTGAAATCGTCAGAGTGCAGTAAACAGTTCTTAATATGGACACTAGTTGCTGTCACACTGTCTCTTTTGCAACTAAGGTTTCAACTTCCTGTTCTGATATCGGCCCCTCCTCCACCTCCTCCCCTGACAGCTGTAAGACTGACTCTCCTTCCACAGTGTGGAGTAAAATCCTTTCTGCCAAAACCTACCCTCTGCTTCCTGAAGTACGGACACTAGTTGAACATATGAGGTCTCATATTTTCAAATATGAAGTCTCAACAGAGTGAGCAACAGAGTGATAATATCTGAAAAAAAAGATCAGTTACGTCTCGTGGCCATAAAATGTTGAAGCTGCAATTTCATAATTTTTAAAGAAAGTCCACATCCTCTGTTAGCCCCTGCAAATGTAGTCTCAGCAGAAAGCCCATGATGTCCCTTTGACAGTACAGCAGCAGTCACATAGATTGCATAAACGGTGCTCGGCGTGGAGGCCTCAGGCTCATGTCCCGACAGAGAACAAAAATTAATTGCTGGATCTTACAGATTGAATCTCCACTATGAGACTACATCCACAGATAAACACAAAACCTTGACTGATGAAGCGTAGCGAGGGAAATATGTACCTAACCAAAGTCTACTTGCACATGAATTGACAACCTGATTAATACTTTCATGAGAAAGTTGCAGTTTCGTTCAGCTTCATCCTTATTCAGATGCTAAAAGCGAAGATCTTGGTTAGGATCAATCTTCATTTGTAAATAAACGTTCTCAGTGTTGATACAGATACAGATCCTCCCTCG